GATGAATTTGTGAAAGAATTGCGAGTATCTCACAACAAAGTTTTACTTTTACTGGGTAATCAATATCGAGTATATAGACCGAGTTTTAGGGATTTTCCGGGTTTTTTTTACATATAATAATTGCAGCCTAATCCTTTAAATAATTACCCGCTAACGGGATGCTTTTGTAATATATTTTCCAACTAAGATGCTAAGCTCTGTTTTTTACTTTATAAAAACCGATACTTTTATCGCATATTGCTCATACGTGATAATTAACTATTTATTCTTTAATTTTGTAATTTAATTCATTATTATGCTTAAATTTTTATGTGCTATATCTCTTAATTGTTTTATCCATATTTATTTCAGTTTAACCTGTAACTTTTAATGAATATATTTTACCTATCCTAAATATTTTAGTATATTGTCTTTCCTGGAGAGGCCGAATCTCTCGTGGAATCGCTCTTATATTTTGATCTTTCTGAATTTGGATGTCCTTCATGGTACAAGCAACACTACTATATAGAGAGACTTAATTTACAGGTAACTTATCATATACTAGAATATTTTAAAAGGCTGTAGCTTCTGCTCGTTCCGCTTCAAATGAATTTGTCAAAGAATTGCTTGTATCTCACAACAAAGTTTTAGTTTTATTAAGTAATCTTGTGAGCTGTTCTCTTTGGCTAGAACGTATTCTTCCTATTATTCTGGATTCCGAATATGAACCAACTTCTTCGTTTCCTATATATATAATTTTACATCACCATGCAATTCTTTCAAATATTCTTGAGACTGTTCTTTATCATAGCGAGGCTATGGAAACTCTTGGTGATTCCTCCGTTGATCTGGTTGATTGGTGTTACTATCAAATGTGTTTTTTGATTAAAGAAGCTAATACTAATGACTCAAAGCAAATTATTGCGGAACTCAAAGAAAAGGTGAATTTAATTGTTTTTTAATCCATAAATTGCGACCACCTGATTAAATATCCTAATTGAAGGTATAGATGCCAAGATATTGTAGCCCTTAGTGTGTTCAGGGGCTTCTTTCGTTGTATATAAATTGTTTGGCCTTGTTTTTGCAACTTGCTGATATTATCATAAAGAGCTATAAAAACGAACCTTGTCCGGAGTCCATAGTATGCATGATAATTTCCAGAGTCGGACCGTTAACTTGATACATTTTCAAACGTTTCACCGGCATCTTCAGTGAGCCTTATCATCCTTAGCATCACACTATAACTCACTAAAGAGACAAGTTGTGGTGTGGTCCTAAGAATGGTAAGGCTCACTGGCAATGCTGACTGCGATGTTGGTGAAACGTCTGGGAATGTACCGAGTCCAATATCCGACCGTGGATTTTATTCTGCATACTTTGGACTCCAGAAAAGGTGAGTTCTTCTAGATCTTCTTAAAAATATTACTCAGTTGCAAAACCAAGATAATACAACTTCTAAATATCCTAAGTTTCTACCATTATATTTTATTTTAATGTAGATTTTTCGATAAACAAATCGCTTGTAAGATTTTGAATTATAATCTTGTTATTTTAGTTTAGGTTGATCACGCGTCTATCAAGGATGAATTGAAAGCCCACCAGAGTGTCATACGATTTGAGATTGGAATGAAAGCTATTGCTTTGATGCGCTACCTGATTGAGCACAGTTGTTCTGATTTTGCTGCTGAGCACTCAAACTCTACATGTTTGCCACTAGGAGTAATAAGAAGAATACTAAACACCTATGATATCCCCATTCTTTTTTGCAATTTAATCGAATTGGCACCTTGGTCAGTTATGCGCGTAGTTAAAGGATCAGATGGAAGTCTACACAATAAAAAATTCTACTGGCATGAAAGTGGTTGTTGGATAGAGGCAGATGAGATGCCTGCAATGACGAAATTGGAAGGCCAGGTATACATTACCACTAAAATTTAAACATAAATATTAAGTTTCTAACTTACATATCCTTATTTATTAGCTTTGGCTGGGTTTATATCAAGTCCTGTTCAACCATCCTAATACAATTAACTACGATTTAACGCTGAATCATCGAAAAAATAACTTACTTAGCCTTCGCTCTCAGCTTACTGAGCAGAGGCTTGACAACTTACCAGTACTGATAAACCTAAGAAGATTCCTTGAAGAACTTGCACTTTCCGATGCAAGTTATGCGGGCAGCAATCGTAACCCAGGTCTGGCAAATTTTTGTCTCGTAGAAGCGCTTCCAATTATTCATGACGACATTATTCGAAGGTTAGAAATTCATATATGTGCTGTTATTTAACTTTATCTTCTTTTTCTCTTTGCAAGCCACATTATTGTTCATGAAAATCTTTAGTATACTGTAAATAGTGCTCATTCTAAACAATATATAAAAATTTGACTAAATATAAAATGCAATTTCATCAACATTGTGCTTAATGAAAATACAAGTTTCGAAATATATTGCTGCCAAATGTCATAGCAAATACCCGTTTTACTTACAGACGCCATTCTAGCCATTATAAAAAGGGCGAATTGAAAAAGATCTTGCTTGCTTCTAAATTCATAAACCTC